TAAATGAAAATGTCTTGTCTTAGTCCTGTCAAAATAGCAAACACTGAACATCTCTCTATATTTAGGTTAAAAGACTGCTTTATTTATTTATTTATTTATTTATTTATTTATTTATTTATTTATTTATTTATTTAATACTAGGTATTTGTACTGAATGTTTATGCTTTCATTTTAGTTGCAAAAAGATCAGAAATTGATCTCGCATGCACAGGGAAAAAAGGCAATTATGCCACACATGACTTGCATCTCTCTCATGCCAAGTTTTGAGGATAAATTCGCATTTAGATGCTGCTTGAAATAAAATAAAACTATCAAAAAGCACATTAAAGACTTTAATAAAAAATTAAAACATTCATAAAGGAGTATCTTATGGAAAAACACCACGGGCTCTGCTTTCGGTTTTAAAAGAATCAAGCAGCTTTAAAAAATATCTAATTTGCTGAAGAGAAATGACACGAAAAAAAAAAATAAAAAGATTAAACATATCGGGACTGTTAAAAGAAAATTCCTCTTTGATATATTCTTTCGACTCCGATACATCAGCTAAGATTATGAATGACGGAGTGTCTCTCCTGCTTCAGCAGCGTGTCCCGCTGGTTAAACGATGAGGCGGAGAGAATGCGCTGCTTAGTGAACCTAACGCGCCATTATTTTAATTCTATATTCGTGAAGAATGAGCCAACCGCATATGCTTAGTCCTGTTGGTCGGGACTCTGCTTTATAACTTAGTTTATTACAATAATCACACTTAGCTTTGCCATCGTTCTTCACATGTTGCCACTCGGCACATCTTGCGCTCCATCTTTAAACAAATGTTTACATTATTGAGGTGCTCTAAGGCGGCGAAGTTTCTGGCAGAGTAGCGAGTGAAAAAATGTGCTTGCAGAAATTGGAATCAAAATTTAAATTATATAACAAGCATCGTATTCTTTCTAATCCTCGCCCAGTTTTAATACAAGTTGTGTTTTTTATATTTGTGGCTGTGAAGTTTATTAAGAATATATATATATATAGCCTACTTTATTTTTTTATACTTTAAGTGATCTGCTTGAGGTAGGTCACGTTTATCAATGGTAAGTTTTAGCCTAAGTTTACATCAATAACATAATGTGCATTGTCCTTTACCATACAAAAAGAAAAAGAAAAAAAAAACATTATTATACATAGTTGCCTTTAGCCTATAAAAAGGCCGCAAATGCATTAAAAGGCAAGCGCATATCTTAGCCTTGAGTTTGTTCACACTCAGCCTGTATTAACATAAATGTTGTATTTTAATATAGCTTATTTTGATGAATTAGCTAACCTTTGGCAGCTTTTTCTTCTTTTTCCGCGGTTATGCGGCATTATATTTCACACACATTTGCAAGGTGACTGAATATGAAGTTAAAATACAAAACATACTGAGCCATAAGTAAAAAACAAAACAAAAAAAAAAACAACAGTTATAGCTACTTTAAAGGAGAACATTGACGTTTTGAAAAAAAAAAAAAACTGAACAGAACTGAAACTAAATTATTAAAAATAAACCTGCAAGACTTAATTTATGTCCTGCGGCAAAAATAATTTTATTATACTTTTAGTGATCTGCTTAAGGTAGGTCAATTTATTTTTCTCAGTGTTTCACGTACTGTACGGCAATGTCTTTAAATAGCCTAAATAATTTATTTAGGCCTATTTTCATTATTCATTTATTTTCATTATTCGTTTATTATTCGTTTATGTACAATTGTTGAGACATAAATGAGATAGTTAAATATAATCAACAACGAAAATGGAAATAAAAACAGAAATAAAACATAAATGAAAATGTCTTGTCTTAGTCCTATCAAAATAGCAAACACTGAACATCTTTCTATATTTAGGCTGCTTTATTTATTTATTTATTTATTTATTTATTTATTTAAGACTACTTATTTGTACTAAATGTTTGTGCTTTCATTTTAGTTGTCTTTTACTTCTTCAATTCTATTTTCCAAAACGAATCCTCTTTGCACTTAAAAAGTTTACAATAAAGCGTGTTAACAAATTTTAAATGATTAATGAAGGAATTATAATGCTTTGACTTATTGTTTAATATCATTTACAAGCACAGTAGCTGTATGGGCTATTTCTGTCTGTTCGCATCCCGTCCCTTTGCGCCCCCTGGCGGCTCATTCACAAACTGCGGTCATACACTAAAAACAGAGCGGCACCTATTTCAAACGGCGGCGGTACCAGCCGCGGCGTTAATAGCCACTTTGAACTCTCACCTACTGTAGGTTTGTACTAAATGCTAATGTTGTAAGATAAGACCAGATATAGACCTTAATATAGTGAATAACATGGCTTCATTTCTTTAATGGGGTGGTCCACTACGATATCATATTTTAAACTTTAGCCCATGTGTAATGTAGCTGTGTGAACATAAACAGCATCTCTGAATGTAAAATGCTCAAAGTTCAATGCAAAGGGTGAACTTGGTTTTTACAGAATTAGCTTAGCAAAGCCTACAATAAACAAATTTTGGGGCCTACAAAAAAAAACCTCCGGGCCTTGAGAGATCACAAACCTACTTTTACTGCGCACACACACTGCACAGCTAAGGGGTGTGACCAGAGGCGCTGTAACGTTACAGCAGAGGGAGAAAATGCCATCCTGCTATTTCCACAGAGCTTCTCTGTTTCTGTATTTGGGCTTCCAAAGGACACGACACAAAGACAGAAGTGCTTACAGTTCAATAATAATTATGTTCCAGAGAATTATAAAATACATAGCAAGCAGGATTTTACAAAAACACTGCTTCCTGTATCTCTCCCAGTTCAGTGCTGTATTCGGTTAAAATCTTCTCAAAGAAGGTGCTGCTCCAATCAGACGCTGTGAACTTTGAGCCACGACCTGTAAGTGTTTTAATTACTAAAATTGATTATGACATGCACAGTGTCTAACCTTAATGGTACGTTGTAGAAAAGATGCAAACAACAGGAAATGTTCTTCGCCACCACTAAGAATTTAGCTACAAATTAATATTTATTCGTCAAACTGCTGTAAACACACACACACACACACACACACACACACACACACACACACACACACACACACACACTTCACCAGCACGTACAGCCTCTCTCTATGTATGTGCGACTGCAGGGTTTCTCTATAGGCAGCTTTTGCATGTGTTTTATATCTCAGATAATGAAAAAGATATGTGAACGATTCATGATACGTGAAAGACGCCATGTAACGAATTAAGTTAAAAAAATACAGGAGAGCTCGTCTAACTCGTGTAGCAGCAGAAAAATCAATCAAGGCTCACAGAGGTTGCAACGCACATCTTGTGCTTTATTTTTCTGTCAGTACAGTTCTGTCACTACAGAAAATAACTTAATCCGAGCATCAGAGAAAAAGAAAAATAAACACCAGTCCCGCGCACATGTACTTCTTGTATTACACACGTCTACAGATAATTCATAGTATACACGCGCACACATAAACACTCGCACACACATAAACACACACAATGGAAAATTCTCTTAAAGGAGCCGCACACCATTTTCACTCGTTACAGACACTTGTCAGATGTTATTTTAGAGAGCGGGCATGAGGTTGACTGACTGTTTACAAAAAACGTGCATGCTTTTGCAGGCGTGACGTGGAGTCAATCTGCGAATAACAGCACATTATGACACATGACCGGTGGGAGTCACTTGAGGGTGGGCCTTTCAGAGGAACTAGGAAATATATCAGTCGTTTTCATGTTAGCTGAGTAGCTGTATATAATCAGACTGAGATTTATGAAAAAATAGCATGATTTCCTTCGAGTGAAACATGAGCACACATTGCTTTGCATCTTATTAACACAACCAAGCCTTAAAATTACATTCTGGACCACCCCTTTAAACATGTATGTGCTGTATCAATTTTATATTTGTGTTAATACATTAAGAAATGTTTATAATGAATGAAGTAATGTGGCGGGTGCTGTAAGGAAAACACTAGAACACAAAATGTGCAAGTTCATAAATCTTTGTTTTGAAAGTTGATCTACATATTAGGAGGTACTGCATTTTTATGACGACCTTTAATAGAATAAGTCTCTGCACTATGCAACTAAAAACTACAGTGGTGTCCAAAATAATCAGAACACCTGGCTTATTTTTTTATGTTTTAGTTGTTTAATTGAATTTACCATTACCATACCCATAAAAAGAATGAAATATTATTTTAATAAGTCATTATAATGACTATAGAAAAGAGCCATTATAATGAGTTTTACCTCGTTTTACTTAGAAAGAAATGAGCCTAATTCAATATCTCTGTTTGGGAAAAGGATTGTGCTAATTAGTTATCAAATGGCTTAACTAAATTTGGATGGGATTTGGATGGGATATTTTGAGGATGCATTTTATGTTAAATATTTAACAATAAACAAGTGTGTTTGCCTAATAATTTTTAGTTTTTTCTGTGCGTTTTAGAAGGTTTTGGAGATTTTGGGCTGAAAACATTCTGTAAACAAAGTGTAGCTGGCAACACTGACCACCATATACCCATTGTAATGTTGTGGTTTGTGTTTGTCTGTTCTTCTCAGTACCTGCTTATTTGGTGAACTTTGTATTTGCAGACTTTAAAACCCTTTTTTTAGTATTAAGTGAACCATGGTCCATTAGTGGAACCATTAGCCATCCTGATTAATTAAAGGTAAATAACTTCAAGTATGGGGTGGCGCAGTGGCTCATTGTTAAGCACTGTACAAGCACTTCACAGCAAGAAGGTCGCTGTTTAAGTTCCAGCTGGGCCAGCTGGCATTTCTGTGTGGAATTCACATGTTCTCCTAGTATTAAGCCAAACATTTATTTTGTTACTCCCTAACCCTGGTCATGAATCAGTTCTTAAAAATGCACCATTTGCGTTCCATGGGAGAAATAAGGTTCATGCAGGTTTAGAATAACAGTGAGTAAACAATGACAAAATTAACAATTTTGAGTCAACTCATCTTTTTATCAAATGTTATTGTTTTACAGGTGGCCATTGATTTCACTGCCTCAAATGGAGACCCTCGAAACAGCTGCTCCCTCCACTACATCCACCCTTACCAGCCCAATGAGTACCTGAAAGCACTGATCGCTGTTGGGGAGATCTGCCAGGACTATGATAGGTGAGGTAACCCACCAATCATTCCCTTCATCAGTCAGTCAGTCAGTCAGTCAGTCAGTCAAACAATCAATCAATCATGTGTCCAGTCAAGCAAACAGTCTTGATATTTAATGGACCAACTAAAAGATCTAATCTATTACATAATGTTTATACCAGTTGTGTTCTGACTACTGGCCATTAACCAAACTTTCAGTACAATTAATCAATTAACTACATTGTACTTGTATTACAACAATCAATTGATCAATCGCATATTTAGTCTTATGTAGTGTCTGAATGCAGAGGTTCCATGTCAAACATTGTCTTTCTATACTTCAGTCACTTTCTAACTCAAGATGTCAGTTATAAGCTGAGAGTCAATTATATTTGACCTCTCACAATGTCACACCCTGCTTACCTCAGTGTTCATCTTTGGGGCTCAATGTGCATTTATTAATCTTTTCTGCTTTTGTTCTGTTTCCAGTGACAAAATGTTTCCCGCTTTTGGCTTTGGTGCCCAAATTCCGCCAGACTTCAAAGTAAGTTAAAAAATTGTATGTTTTAAAAATTTGCTTTATTGATATTTACTTTTGGTAAAACTTTTATTTTTAATGTAGATACTGCTCCTTAAAAAGAAATTTAACTGACTAAAAGAAACTTTGCAAATATGTCAACTTACACTAACCCTAACCCTCACCTTAACCTAACAGTCTACTTATAATATATTAGGAATTAGTTAGCATGTAGATGCAATGTAACTTAATTCAACAAACGGACCATTAAAATAAAGTGTGACCTTACTTTTAAGTGCTAATCCATTTAAATGTTCATATATGCAGTTTTCTTCTTTCTTCTTTTAACTTTATTTGTTCATAGTCATTTTACTGTTTTGACTGAGTTGGCGTTTAATTTTCTAGTGTTTTTTTGTGTGTATTCTATTACAGAATTTATTATAAATGATTTGTTTACAGGTAATAATTAAAGTTGTATTTATCTCTTTCAAATAAAATTTTTTCTATGATGACATGTTTACAGCATGCTGGAGGGCTGAGGTTCTTCACATGTGGATTACTCAGCTCGATTATTGACAATTTGACATGATCCGAGATAACTTCAAAACTTCTTTGTCATAGCAGCAAGGGTATGTTTCCCTTCGGGTGGGGAACTCCAATGCTATTAGTGGATTTGATTTTAGGAAAATCCACGAATTGGGAGGATTCGGTTCAGAAGCCACTTGTCTGAAAGAGTATGGAACGGGCCAATGAATGCCAATAAATTGGCAGCGTAAGCTTGCACAGGTGTGCTTCATTGGCAATTAACCCAGCATATAAGCACACGTGGAGCAAGAATTCGCTATCCTTTTCGCTTCAGAGACTTCTGATCGAGTCGATGAGGGTTCCTCCTGTGTGATCCAGCGATTCCGAGCGAACGAGAGCATTCTCCCTGTCCAGAGTGTGTACACGCAGCGGCAGACTGTCGAGCTGGGTTTCTCCCTTGCCTGGCGTTCTTTGGATCCAGTCCTCCAGAGCGGTGCGTATAAAGTTGCAACTTCACAAAGAGAGCAACACAGTCGTGCAGCACGTCTTTTTCAGGACGGTGCTCCGACTGGCGTTTCTGAAACGGACATGTTAGCCGTGTTTTCACGGGCTGCTCTGGCCGTGGGTTGGAGATGGTTTATCCCCCAGCTCCGCGGCCGGACGGACTAGATGGGTGCTACGTAGAGGACCAGAGGGCAAAGCCTTCAAAGCCTCTCGTCCCCTTCTACCCGGAGGTGCACAGTAGGCTCACACGGTCTTGAAGGGCACTTTTTTTTGCTCGTGCTGCATGTCCCTCCACCCTCACCACTCTTGACGGTGGAGCGGCCAGGGGTTATGTGGCGATTCCTCAGGTTAAGCGCGCGGTTGCGGTTAATCTTTGTCCGCGCTGCGCCTCTTCTTGGCAGGGTCCGCCTCGTCTCCCATCCAAAGCCTGTAAGTTATCCGCCTCCCTCGGAGCTAGAGCTTACAGGGCTGCGGGCCAGGCTGCTTCCGCCTTGCATGCGATAGCCACCTACCAGCGCTACCAAGCGCAGGCGCTTGCCGAGCTGCACGAGGGTGGGGTCCAACCCAGGCTTATGAGCTTCGCACCCCAGCCGACTAAGCTCTTCGGACTACTAAGTCCGCTGCGTGTGCGTTGGGGAGGACGATGTCCACACTAGTGGTCCAGGAGCGCCACCCTTGGCTAAAAATTGGCTGATATGCGCAAAGTCGACAAAGTCCGCTTTCTTGACTCCCCCATATCCCAAGCTGGTCTTTTCGGCGACACCGTCTGTGAATTCACCCAGGAATTCAAGGCGGTGAGAGAGCAGTCTGATGGTTGATGTCACCTTCGGCGGGGCCGTAAGCCCGCTCCGCCCGCCGTACCATCCATATCTGCTCCTCGCCAAAGGCGCCCGCCTATGAGAGCTGAACCGCCCCCGCACATGCCTCTGGCGTAGCGAGCACGTCGAGCACCTCGGAAGCAGGCAGCCAATCAGAGTTCGCGAAACGGCCTCCCAAGTTCACGGGTGTGTATTCAATCGCAGATCTGCACGTTTTGAACCGCTGTCTGCATAAGCTGCCATTCAGAATGCTCACGCAGAAGCGCATCCTCCAGTGCGTTCTTCCTCTGGGTTGGTCTGCAGCATTAGACCTGATGGGCGCGTATTTCCAGGTCTCCACTCTTCCTCGCCACCGTAAGTTTCTGCGGTTTGCATTTGAAGGTCGAGCTTGGCAATACAAAGTCCCCCCTTAAATAGTTGTCCCACTGAAACTATTTCAGAGGCTCCTGGGGCATATGGCATTCGTAGCCGCTTCACGCCGCTCGGATTACTCCATATGACACCACTCCAGCACTAGCTTCACGATCGAGTCCCCAGACGTGCATGGAACGCTCGCGCACCGAGTCTCTGTTACTGCGCTGTGTCGCAGCGCCCTCAGCCCTTGGAGCGACCCCTCGTTCCTACAGGCCTGAGTGCCTCTAGGACAGGCGTCCAGCCTTGTCATTTCAACAGATGCTTCCACATGGGCTGGGGGGCTGTGCGTTGCGGGCATGCAGCTGCGGAGCTGTGGAAAGGAACCCAGTTGCATTGGCATATTGCCTGGAGCTGCTGGCAGTGTTTCTCGCTCTCCACCGTTTTTTTTCTGGTGCTGGAGCAGCAACACATGCTGGTCAGGATGGACAGCATGGCGGCGGTTTGGCGTATATCAACCGCTTGGGGGGTATTCGCTCTCGCCGCATGTCTCAGCTCGCCCGCTGTCTGCTCCTCTGGAGTCATCCGCGGCTGAAATCGCTGCACGCCATTCACATTCAGGCAAGCTCAACCGTGCAGCTGATGCGCTCTCACGGCAGCCTTTACGTCCTGGGGAATGGAGACTCCACCCCGAGTCTGTTCAGCTGATATGGGCGCGATTCGGGGAAGCCCAGATCGATCTGTTGCTTCCCCCGAGATTGCTCATTGCCAGTTGTTTTTTTCCCTGACCGAGGGCTCTCTCAGCACGGATGCACTGGGTCACAGCTGGCCTCGGGGCATGCGCAAATACGCGTTTTCTCCAGTGAGCCTGCTTGCGCAGTTACTGTGCAAGGTCAGGGAGGACGAGGAACAGGTTGCTGGTTGCGCCCCTCTGGCCCAACCGGACCTGGATGTCAGAGCTCTCCCTCCTCGCGATGGCCCCCCCCCATCTGTGCGTTGCAATGGCGGACCCGTGTCTTCCCTCTCCGCTAACCACCTTTATCATGCGTACTCCCCTCCTTAGGGCTAGTCCATATGTATTGCCATCATATCTCCCCATTGGGTAGCAGATGGCCTCCGCAGCGTCCTCCCTATCGGGACTGCACGCTCCCAACATACTGTCGTATTATTATAATTATCTAGACACTTGCGACTTTCCGAAAAATATACCTAAATAAGTAAGGGCCAGGGACACGTTGGAGGACTGTGCCTCCCGTGATGTGTGTGCGTCATGCTTGCCTGATTATCCTCTCATCGGAGGCTTTGGTAAGGTGCAGTCATTATGGCGTTTTCCATAGTTCTCCCAATTCATGGATTTTCCTAAAATCAAATCCACTAATAGCATTGGAGTTCCCCACCCGAAGGTGAACGCTCAGGTTACTAAAGTAACCCTCGTTCTCCGAGGAGGGGAACGGAAATGCTATTTACCATCACCATAATGACTGTCCCTTAGCTGTTAGTTCAAGTCTCTTCAGCTTAAAAGGATTGCGAATGCTTGCTCCACGTGTGCTTATATGCTGGGTTAATTGGCAATGAAGCACACCTGTGCAAGCTTACGCTGCCAATTCATTGGCATTCATTGGCCCGTTCCATACCCTTTCAGACAAGTGGCTTCTGAACCAAATCCTCCCAATTCGTGGATTTTCCTAAAATAAAAATCCACTAATAGCATTTCCGCTCCTCTCCCCAGGGAACGAAGGTTACTTTAGTAATCTGAGCATTCTTCATACATCAACTAAACAATCTAAGATAATTTGGCAGATTTTTTATCTTTTAATCATGATAACTAATCTTTGGATAATTTGGAACTTTAATCAAGTTTGCTGATCAGATTAAAATATCTGCACTGTTAGACCTTGTTAGGCTTTTTTACAGTGTAATACTGGCAACACTGTTCCCAGTTAGTCACTGGCTGTGTTCGAAATCGCCTACTACTCAGTAGGTATTGCATTTGAATTTAAACGTACTACTAGGAATTCTATCACAGTGCATCCTGTGATAGCGTAGGATCAATCCGATGCGCACTACAGAACCTTGCTGGAAGTAGTAGGTCATCCGAGTACTTCCCACATGCTGTTTTTCCAATTTTGTAAATTCTGACAAATTTTCAGGCAAATGTATTTTTTTTTTTTTTGCTACAAATAAATATACTGCACAACATAAAATGTTAAGCAGTATCAGCAGATATAAATAAATTTTCTATTTACAATGAAACAGAAAGGCCAAATTAATAAACAACACCTGCAGTGTGTATAGCACAGGAGTCAAACATTTAAATATCATCTTGCGAAAGCCATAATCACACTGCACTTTTTGCCCCATATACTTCCATTCATAAACATGTGAATGTAGACCAGAAATGCAAGCTCATGTGACAAGTTTTGCATGTTGCTGCATTCGAAAATTCAAGCTTGTTAAACTCTGATCTGCGAAATCACATCACGTCATTGCGTGAGACCAATAGAACATCAAAGCATGACCTCTTTGTACAAAAATTTTGAATATGGAGCAATCACTTCCTTTTTTAGCGTCTTTTTAACATCTAATCATTTTGTTTAATCCCACCACTATTTGCAGGGCCAAATGACAGAACTTCACATGCTCAAACTGTGAAACAGTTTGTATGTGCGAAATTCTAACGTACGGCGCTTCGAAAAGGAGCGGAATTAAACAAAATGATTAGACATTTTAAAAAGTGAGCGATTGCTCCGTATTTAAAATTTCTGCACAGAGAGGTCATGTTGATCCTCGATTGGTCTTATGTGTGACCGGGGCCCGTACTGTACTGAATATAACCAAATAGAGGTTCACTTTACTACCCACAACTTCTCCAAACAAAAATTTCTCCAAACAAATGGAAATAAAGCAGAGATGTGTACAAACAATCTTTTATTAGACACTTAAATAGAGTTTTTCTTTAAAATGTAATCATATAAAACAGATAGTCAATTACAATAAGTCACAAAACAATACAATAGTTTGTATAATGGTTGTCAGTGGCCACTGCTCTATCACACTCAATATTACACAGGATATACCATTGGGAAAGATCAAAAGGGAAAAAAAGGAAAATGCCACACTCCAGTGCAAACGAAACCTTCAAAACAAAACACTCATTAATAAAGAGAAACTAACCCACACTCAAAATAAACCACCCGCATAACAAACAAAGCCAAAATAACACAACCCTCCCCATATAAGGTAATCCTTGCTTTTAGTATTGAAATGGAAGTTGAACAATAACAGCCCTTCACAATTTACACAAACAAAATACAAACCCACCAAATAGTTAAAATCACAACACTGCACACATACACGCACACTCACAACCGCGCCAACGTCGAAAGAATTTAGCGCACCCTCGCACAATAAGCGCGCGCTCACACCCACACACACACACAATCCTACACACACACACACACTCTGCCTTGACGCAACCGAGTCACACACAATCAGGTGCCGAGAAGGAAAGTGAATCGCCCCTCGTAGCACAAACGGGTCACCAGACAGCAGCAAAACAGCAACGGGCTCTCTATAAAACAACCAGTCAATATTCATTTGCATGTTAATGTTTAAAATCATGTTTCTAGATAAAACATTTACAGACTCTCAAATAGAAACTTGCCCGCAGCCCAGTCAACTGGCTCTTAACGCAAATGGTGAGCAATCCACCGATCATACATGGATGTAGCTAAAAGAATTATTAATTATTAATTAACAGCTCTAAAACTCGCCAGAAATAGCCAAAGACATAAACAGAAACATGCCGTTACTCGCTGATGCGATTGCACTTCCTCAGGCCAAAGAAACAGAATTACAGGCTTTTCTAAACACTGCAGGCTTACTGCTCAACGCTCAATGCTTAACGTACATCAAAAGTTTGCACGCACTCAACACACTGCCACTATTCCATGCCAGGGAGAAAACGGAAGCAAGGGAAAACTTCCACACTTTTAAAGGGGTGGTGAGCGTAATTTCCAACTCCATTCACCTAAACATAATGAGGAAACCCCTCCCCCTTGGGGATCCCCCATTACACGCATACGAGTGGGAAACCCCTCCCCTTTGGGGATCACCCCATTACATATGCAGTAAAGTGATGTGATTTTGCAGGTCAGAGTTCACCAAGTTTGAACTTTCCAACGCAGGAAATTGCAATACTTGATACACAAGCTTACGTTTTCCGTCTGACGGATTTGCGTGCATATAAATGGAAGTCTATGGGGAAAAAAGTCCAGTGTGACCACAGCTTAAGGCCCCGTTTACAATAGTACGTTTCAGTTTTAAAACAGCGTTTTAAAATGAAAACGATCCGCGTCCACACTAGCGTTTCACCCAGCGTTTCTGAACAGCTCTCCGTCCACCCTAAAAACCTTAAAACACACATCACTGCTGTCTGTTAAGTTTTTAATATCAAAATGACAATGACAATAACAGTTCTTTATATCATGTTTTCATTTTATTATTAAGATATAGTAAAACAAAGTAGTCAGGATGAAGTGAATGAGGTTATAAAGTACACTGTTCCTTTTGAAGATTTACCTGACATGTCCTCGGGAGTCTGTTTTCCATATCAAACTTGCGAAGTCTGAACTTATGGGGAGAGGATGCAGGACTGAACTGTGTGTGTAGGCTACTTAATAATGAGGAAAAGCCCCAATCAGAGAGGCGAATGTCGGCAGCCCCGCCTTCGTTTTCCGATTTCTCTGTTTTTGCCCCATCCACACTGATACGGAGCAGCAGTGTTTTAGAATGAAAACGGCCTCTTCAGCGTTTCCAAAATCGATGCTCGAAAACTCCGGCGTAGTGTGGACGGATGGCGTAACCGTAGCAAAACTTATGCGTTTTCAAACTAAAACGCATTAGTGTAAACGGGGCCTAAGTCACGTTACTGGGGGCCCACAGCTCTGCAGAGATTAGCTTTAACCCTAATTAAACACACCTGATCAAAGTGAGTCCTTTAAGCTTCTTTGAAATCTATAGTTAAGCTTGCTGAAGCAGGGTGTGAGCTAAATTCTGCTGGGCTTCGGCTTTCTAGGAACTAAGTATGACGCTCATGGAATATTGCATATTTTAAAACAATTGCCAAAATTGTCACAATCACATATCCAATTAAAAAAATTTTAATAAAATAAATAAACAAACTCCATTCAAAAGAAAAAAAAAATCAATCAGCACTGATCCTCATGTTGTTCCAAACCTATAGTAATAAAGTAAGCAACTTATAAAGCAACACTGACTAACAATCAATTTCACATGGTGTTGTGCAAATGGAATAGACAACAGGTGGAAATTCTTGGTGATTAGCAAGACATCTCCAATAAACAAGTGGTTCTGCAAGTGGTGACCACAGTACACTTCTTAGTTCCTATGAGCTGTGGCAAGACGGTTTGCTGTGTCTATCAGCGTAGCGTCCAGAGTATGGACTAGCCCGTCTGTTTCCCAGACCTGAATTTAATTTAGAACAGGGGTTCTCAACTGGTGTGGCATTTGACCCACATTTTTACATGGTCATCAAGCCGCGACCCAAATGTTTTGGAACTATAATATAATTTTAGGGAATCATAATTCATTTGTATTTATTTGTTAACATACACAAGTAGTAAAAGATAAATCATAAGAAAATCACCAAGACTTATATTGTTAAATAAACAATATTTTACAGCTTTCATTTAACAAAATGTATAAAATTATAGAAATATTACAAAGTAAAAACGTCAAATACTGTAAACAGTGGTTAGGGTAAGGAAAATTTAAGTTACCACTAACTAAACTGAACTGTTAATAAAACATTAATGCTGATCCGGCTGAACAGAACAAACCCGCAAATTAAAGTAAAATGGTTAAATTGATCATAACAATTTTATAATAATCACCAGTTATTTGCTTTTCTGCTTTTTTGTGGGCTTTCTTGGCCTTTGCTACACGGTGAGCACAGTAAGATGAGCGCAGTGCCTGGACTTGTTTTAAACATGAAGATGTTAGGCACTTTTGTCATGCCCTCAGCTATTGAAGTCGTCTTTGAAAATAGTCCACAGGTTTGTCCTTGCAACTTGGATGTTTGGTTTCTAAATGTCATTTTAATTTAGAAGGTTTCATGCTCTGTTGTGAGAGCACCTCACTACACACTGACGTTTTAAGACTTTTTTGTCATCAATATATGTAAATCCACACTTTACATATTCGGGGTCGTATTTGCGCTGAAATTTTACATGTCAAACGGATTTCAAAATAAAAGTCCGATATACGCAAAATAAGTTAAAAATGAACTTTTGTTGTTTTTTTGATCACACACTCCACAACCCAATGAAAATGTTCCCATGACCCACTTTTGGGTCGCGACCCACTAGTTGAGAAACACTGATTTAGAACATCTGGGACATCATGTCTCGCTTCATTCACCAATTCACCATAGACTGTCCAAGTCTGAACGGGGTTCTCTCAGGAGACCATCCTCCACCTCATCAGAAGCACACCTAAGCATTGTAGAAAGGTCATGTGGAGGCCACACACTACTGAGCCTCGTTTTGATTTGTTTTAAGGAGATTACATCAAAGCTGGATTAGCCTGTAGTGTGTTTTACACTTCAATTTTGAGTGTGACTCCAAATCGAGACCTCCATGGTTGAACAAATTTGATTTCCATTAATATTTTTTTTTATATTTTGTTGTCAGCACATTCTACTAAACAAAGTATTTGATGAAAATATTTCATTTTATTCAGATCTAGGATGTGTTATTTCAGTGTTCCCTTTATTAAGCAGTTGGTACATACTTTCAGTATCACCTATTATATATACACACAACTACTTATATGTTGCAATAGAAAAGAAACTACTAATGCAGCTTGCATGCAGATCTTAATGTGTTTTAGCTATATTATGTTTTTGATACTATTTTTAATGTGTGTATATTGTCTATTTATTTTTTGATTGGTTTCAATCTCCACTCAACTGATATTTTAACAGACAGAATTTTAACTTGCAAGAGGTTTCCCATACCATATGATAAATTGCCATGGAAACTAGAGTGCTCTGAATCCCTCACTGTTACCTGACATAATATTTCTGAATAATTCATGAACTGCTAATGCCCTTTTAAAATAATCACCTCATCACTCCTACTAATCTATGCCAATCAGTCAAAATCAGGTCATCTGATTGGCTGCCATGTTTTAACCAGAGGTCATAGCTGCAGTGTGGATGGATGTGAGTCTAAGTATGCATTATGCTGACCGGAGTCCGAACCACAGGGAGGCTCCATGTTTTATGCATGGCCTTAACCCATCCATTGGCTGCAATGTCTCTGAATATAAATGAGCCATAAAATAAAGAAATGAATTGTTTTAGTTCTTCCAGGGCATTTATTAGACTTTAATTGTGTAATCTGATATTGCCACAGCTTCAGATATGGGCATTAAACTGTTTTTTTTTTGTCCTCCTCTCTCTTTTTTTGTCCTCCTTTTCTGTCCTCTCTTTTGTCCTCTCTTTTGTCTTTAGGTTTCTCATGATTTTGCAGTGAATTTTGACGAGGACAATCCAGAATGTGCTGGTGAGTCATGGTGGTGTGAGTTTCTTTATACAGATAATAATCAAATCTGTTTTTATTTACTCATCCTCATGTCATTTCAATCCCCTAGGATATTTGTTTGTCTACGAATTACAAATATTTTAAGTGAAATCTGAGAGCTCCTTCATTCTCCATAGAAAAGATTCTGAACCCTTTCAGAGTCCAAATAGATGCAAAAACCATCCTTAAAACAGACCATATGCATTCAGTGGTTTAATCTTAATATTAAGATTATCATGAGCACTGTGCTGTGATGTACATACTCAAGCACAACTTTCTGTGTCAACACAGGAACGTCCGAGTAAGTAATATGCCTGAGGTGGGACCAATCACCCTATACTGAAACTGACCAGAAGAATAAAGTATTTTTTATTTAATGCTTTAAATATTCTTATAGCTTGATATAATTCTGATCGAACAACTGAAGGCATGTGTTTTGAGGATCCTTTCTTAACTTTGAATGAGCCAGGAACTTTGCTGAAGGAGCTCTCAGAATTCATTTAAAACATCTTATATCCAAAGATAACAGATGATCTCAAGGATTTGGAACGACATGAGGGTAACTAAATGTAACAAATGTGGCCAATCAGACACATATTTATTTTGCTCTATTCCACCATCAACCTCTCCTACCCAGAAAAAACGTTCAAGGTTACAGAAGTAACCCTTCATTCCCCGAGGAGGGGAACAGAAGTGCTATACAGTGGATTTGATTTTGAAAATCCACGTATGGGAGGATTCGGTTCAGAAGCCGCTTGTCTGAAAGAGTATTGAACAGGCCAATGAATGCAATGAATTGGCAGCGTAAGCTTGCACAGGTGTGCTTCATTGCCAATTATCCCAGCATATAAGCACACCTGGAGCGAGCAAACGCCATCCTTTTAAGCTGAACAGATTTTTAAACAGCTAAGGGACAGTCATTATGGCGACGGAGTATAGCACTTCCGTTCCCCTCCTCGGGGAACGAAGGGTTACTTCTGTAACCTCGAACGTTCCCCTTCGGGTGGGGAACGTCAGTGCTATACAGTGGATTTGATTTTGAAAATCCACGAATGGGAGAACTATGGAAAGCGCCATAATGACTGCACCTTACCAACGCCCCCAATGAGGGGATAGTCAAGCAAGCGTGACGCACCCACATCATGGGAGGCGCGGGGGGAATAGTTGGCAGAATTTACATATGGACTAGCCCTAAGAAGGAGGAGTACGCATAGAAAAAAAGTGGTTAGCGAAGAGGGAAGACATGGGTCCACCCAGGGGGGGGACTTAACCGTGGCGTAATAAGCATATGGGATCGCCTAGTGGGGATCACGCATAGCAGGCACCTATACCCAAAACGCGGGCTGACCAGCGGGCAGATCTACAACGTAGTGGGCCAGCAGGTAACTCCTCCGCTGAGTCAGTGCTGGGGGCCACGGAGGAATCTGCAGGGCTCACCTGACGGGGAACTTTACTGACAGATAAAAAGGCACACGAACCTCCATGTTAGGGAGAATGGCGCAGCAAGCGTGTTTCAACACCCTACCGAGTTGTTTCCTCAATCACCAAAGGGTTACCCAATACCCTTGAGAAAACCGGCTCCACTCGCATATTGTAAAACCTTGCAAATGTGTTGGGTGTCGCCCAGCCCGCAGCTCTACAAATGTCTGTTAGAGAGGCACCGCGTGCACGCGCCCAAGAGGATGCAAAGCTCCGAGTGGAGTGTGCACGCACTCCCGGGGGACACGGCTCACCTCTGCTTGAATAAGCGAGTGAAATGGCATCCACAATCCAGTGGGATAATCTTTGTTTCGATACGGCACTTCCCTGCTGCCGACCGCCATAACAGACAAAGAGCTGCTCAGATGATCTAAAGTTCTGAGTACGGTCCACATAAACGCGCAGGGCGCGAACTGAACAAAGTAAGGAAAGGGCTGGGTCTGCCTCCTCCGAGGCAGCGCTTGCAGGTTCACTACCTGATCTCTAAAGGGGGTGGTAGGAACCTTGTGCACATACCCGGGCGGGGTCTCAGGATAACATGAGAGTAGTTCGGCCCGAATTCCAGGCACGAGTCACTGACCGAAAATGCATCCAGGTCCCCGACCCTCTTGATGGAGGCCATTGCGACCAGCAGAGCTGTCTTCAGGGACAGAAATCTTTGAGATACTGAATCGAGTGGCTCGAAGGGATCTGCGCGTAAACTTGTGAGAACAAGGGTAATCCCAAGAGGGTATGAGAGGGAGGCGGGATGGATTAATTCGCCTAGCACCCCTGAGGAACCGGATGATGAGGTTGTGCTTTCCCACGGTGCCGCCAGCTACCGCGTTATGATAAGCGGAGATGGCGGCCACGTAAACCTTGAGAGTGGAGGGCGACAGCCTGCTGTCCAGGTTCTCTTGAAGGAAAGAGAGCACAATAATGATCTGGCAATTTCATGGGGTCTTCTCTGCGAGAGACGCACCATTCAGTGAATAGACTCCACTTCAGGGCGTAGGCGCGCCTCGTGGAGGGGGCTTTAGCCTGAGTGATGGTATTAACCACCGCACTCGGTAGGTTATCTAAGTCTTCCTCGTGTCTAGGGACCACATGTGGAGGTTCCAAAGATCGGGGCGAGGGTCCCAGATGGTGCCCTGTCCCTGAGAGAGTAGGTCCTCTCTCAAAGGGATCTGCCAGGGGAGGGTCGTCGTGAGGAGGGAGAGCTCTGATATCCAGGTCCGGTTGGGCCAGAGGGGCGCAACTAGCAGAACCTGTTCTTCGTTCTTCCTGACCTTGCACAGAAACTGCGTGAGCAGGCTCACTGGGGGAAACGCATATTTGCGCATGCCCCGAGGCCAGCTGTGGGCCAGTGCATCCGTGCCGAGAGAGCCCTCGGTCAGGGAAAAAAACAACTAGCAATAAGCGTTCTCGGTGGAAGCAAACAGATCGATTTGGGCCTCCCTGAATCGCGCCCATATCAGCTGGACAGACTGGAGTCTCCATTTTCCAGGGCTTAACAGCTGCCGTGAGAGCGCATCGGCTGCACGGTTGAGCGTGCCTGGAACGTGAATGGCGCGCAGCGATTTCAGCCGCGGATGGCTCCAGAGGAGCAGACGGCGGGCGAGCTAAGACATGCGGCGAGAGCGCATACCCCCCATGCGGTTGATATACGCTGCCGCCACCGTACTGTTCATCCTGACCAGCACATGTTGCCGCTCCAGCTCCGGTAAAAAGCGCTGGAGAGCGAGGAACACTGCCAACAGCTCGAGGCGATTGATATGCCAATGCAACTGGGCACCCTTCCACAGGCCCGTAGCTGCATGCCCGCGACACACAGCCCCCCAGCCCATGTTGGAAGCATCTGTTGAAACAACAACATGGCTGGACGCCTGTCCTAGAGGCACACCAGCCTGTAGGAACGAGGGGTCATCCCAAGGGCTGAGGGCGCGACAACACAGCGCAGTAACAGAGACTCGGTGTGTGCCCGCGTGCCATGCGCGTCTTGGGACCCGATCGTGAAGCCAGTGCTGGAGTGGTCTCATATGGAGCAATCCAAGCGGCGTGACGGCAGCTGCGGATGCCATATGCCCCAGGAGCCTCTGAAAGAACTTCAGTGGGACCACTAGTTTGCTGTCGAGCTCTCTCAGACAGCCCAGCAACAGGCGAGCGCATTCCTCGGAGAGGTGTGCTACCATGGTGACCGAGTCCAGCTCCATCCCGAGAAAAGAGATCCTCTGCACAGGGGCGAGTTTGCTCTTTTCTCGGTTGACCTGAAGCCCCAGTAGGCGGAGATGCCGAAGCACCTTGTCCCTGTGCATAATCAATTGCTCCCGTGAGTGGGCTAAAATCAGCCAGTCGTCGAGATAATGCGAGTATGCGGATGCCCGCGAGCCGAAGGGGCGCTAAGGCACCCTCCACGAGTTTGGTGAAGATTCGCGGAGACAGAGAGAGGCCGAAGGGGAGGACCTTGTATTGCCATGCTCAACCCTCGAACGCAAACCGCAGAAATTGGCGGTGGCGTGGAAGAATGGAGACAAGAAAATACATGTCCTTCAGGTCTATAGCTGCAAACCAATCCCGAGGACGAACGCATTGGAGGATGCGCCTCTGCATGAGCATTCTGAATGGCAGCTTGTGCAGACAGCGGTTCAAAACGTGCAGATCTAGGATTGGTCGTGACCCACCGCTCTTTTTGGGTACGATAAAGTATGGGCTGTAAAACCCTCTCTCCATCTCGGCTGGAGGAACTGGCTCGATTGCACCCTTCGCCAGGAGGGCAGCAATCTCCTCTCACAAGACTGGGGCAGACAGGGGGTTGACCTTGGTGAAATACACGCCCGTGAACTTGGGGGGCCTCTTCGCGAACTGAATCGCGTAACCGAGTCTGATTGTGCGTATGAGCCACCGCAAGGGGCTGGCCCGCGCTAAACAGGCAGGCAGAGCCCTCGCTAATAGAGTCATCGCTACAATCGCTGACGTACCAGCGGTGGGGCAGCGCATAGTGGGTGTGCTGGTCCGGGAAGCACGAGGGTCCCGCGGAAGTGCTGGAGGAGAGCGATTCGCTCTGGCTCCGCACCCTGAATCCGGAGAGGGGGCTGGAGGGCTGAGGGAAAGGAGACCGTCCCCCCAGCGCTCGTGAGCCACTGGCGAAGCACGTAGAATCTGCGAGCCAGAAGGCAGCGCGTCCCGGCCTGGCAGAGTTCGTGCTGTCACATCCGGGGAAGGCTAAAAATGCTCTTTCATTGATGTTTTGGTGGCAATGAAAAGTACCATTGGAATCGGGGCCCCGCCCTCCAGCAGGAAAAGAGCAAGTTTCCTCTTCTGCGGATGGCCTGTCTCAGGGACGCTTCGCAGTCCGTTTACCAGACTTAACGGCGCCCTGGGCAGGGGGGCTGCCTGCTTTCAAGGAGTACGGTGCGCTGGCTTGGCCGGAGGCGCCCTCGGCGAGTAGCAGCGCAGGTGGATGGCTCGGCAGGCGGAGTGGGCTTACGGCTGCGCCGATAGATGACATTGCCCATTGCATCCGA